TTGCTTGTACTGGCATGAAGCCGAAAGCACCAGCCTGAGGATGGCGAGTGGGACCTCGCCGAAACATCGCCAAGATACTCTCAATCTTACACAGGAAAAGACCCGAACATGCCAAGACCTATGTATGTATGTATGTATGTATATGTATATATGTATATATTTTAAATATGTATATTTTAAAAAAATAACGTTTAATTTTTGTCATTCACATTTCATTTTGTTCCTCCTTTGGCATCCTTTCTTTAATGATTCTATTCCACCATTTATTTGATATCAGTGAAACTCTTGTCCCATGGCAATGGCGAGTTGGCTTTGGTGAGCTATCCCACAGCAAGTTGGCCATTGTAAGTTGTCTAGACCCATCCTCGGCTTACATAATTAATTCAATGTTGGACTATTCAATGTTACAACAGTGCTGAAAAAAATGACTTATGACCATTTTTCACATTTACAACTGTTGCAGCATCCTCCTGGTCCCATGATCAAAATTCAGATGCTTGGCAACTTGCATGTATTTATGACAGTTGCCGTGTCCTAGGCTTATGTGATCACTGTTTGCAACCTTCTGACAAACAAAGTCAATAGGAAAGTTAGATTTACTTAACAACTGTGTTACTAATTTAAACAACAGCAGGATTCATTTAAAAACTGTCTTGCTTAGCAATTGAAATTTTGGGCTCAATTATGGTCCTAAATCAAGGACTACCTGTAATACAGTAAATTCATCGTATTATATAGCCAAAGACCTAAAACATAAAATACAACCAAAAACTGCCAACAACATTACACAAAAACATCTGAGTTTGGAGTAATAGCTTTCAGGGGTCCACTGCAGGGGTGAGCAACTTGGGGTTTGCAGAGGGAGAGCTGCTAGCTAAGGTTCTGTGCAGTTCAGAGAATCCCCCAAATCCACTCCTGGTTGGCCCTTCCCACCCCACCCCGCCCCTCCCAAGAGTCCCCATGCAGCCCATTTTGGATGCAGGTAAGTGCAGGGCGCTCGTGGAGGCTCAGGGAGAGTGAAAAATGGCCTCCAAGAAGTTCAGGAAAGCTGGAAATGGGCCCGTTTCTGGCTTCCAGAGAGCCTCCAGAGTCCAGGGAAGCCGTTTGCTTGAGGAAAGCCTCTGGAGTCCGGGGAAGACAAACCCCAACTGCCATGGTGCAGGAGGCCGACTAGGCCACGCCCACCCAACAACTGGGCAGTGAACGCCTTGCTAAAAATTTTGAAGCCCACCCCTGGTCCCCTGGATCCTGTGATCACTTCATGCTAAATGGAAAATAATGTGTCCTTAATACATTTTTGGTGTTATAGCATTGTATTGGAAAGTAGCATATTTCTGTATTATGAAGATGACAGAATAAAGTATTATTTAAAATGTTTATTAATTTTGGTATAAATACCATACTGGTTTGAAAACAATTTAGTCAGGGCCTCAACAAGATAAGCAATCACTTTGTAAGTCCCAACACTTCACTCTGAGTTCCTGGGACAAATAATGCAAAGGTATTTTCCATTCAAATGCAGGAACAAATTTACTGTTGGAAGTAGTGAAAATATACTTGTTGGAAGTAGTGAACATTTGAAGGCTTTTTTTACTCTTTTTATTCATACCTTATAATGAATTATAAGTTCATTATACTGAATTCTCATTTAATTTTCATAGAAGTAGAAAAAGACAGAAGAGCAAAATATAGAATTAAAAAAGAAAATTAAAGAAAAGATGTCATTTGACCCATTCTTCCCTCTATCTTCTGAATCTCACAAGAGATTATATAATTCTTTTTTCTGATACAGAAGCATGATAAGGATAGCTGAGTTAACAACTGATAAACCATACTAAAATATCATCTTGGGGTATGGGCTGCACATCTATTTTCATTGATCAAGAATCATAGGATGCTGAAATTAATCTTTAGCAACAGTACAGTAGAAAATTCAAACTGTTACCTCTGCTTAAAGTTTTGGGATAGGATTTTTTTAAAACATTTGTATGTTAAGCCTAACAAAGTCTTGCCTTTTTATTTCTCCTTGAAAATAAATGGAACACTATCTAGATCTACACTTTGCTGAAAAAAAGGCATTGTTCTTCTATAAAAAACCTGCAAAAACAGGGTGCCAGATTTATGATTCATCTGCCCATACAGTTTGAATGTATTGTTATCACCCCAATACTGAACTCACTCCTGAACTATTTCATAATGCATTTTAAATACAAAGTTTATTTTAAAGTCAATATAATAGAACTATATACTATCATACAATGCTTCAATGTGGTTACTCCCTAAAATGTTTTTGAAGTAAAATTATCTTTAAAAAAAACTGATTGAACCTGCAGTTTGTAGCAATCATAGAAGGAGCTGCAACCTGTCATGATAACGTTATTGAACACATCCGTCAGTCTTCCACTGGATTCTGTACTATTCAAATAGTGGCTGGCACCTCTGAAAGCTACTTTAGGCTGGTATAAAACAATGGAAGTAGAAAGACAATTAATTCACATCTAAATTGTTTGCTTTACACTTTAAAAAAAATGGGTAAGTACATTTCTATATGCTGACTTTCTGGGAATCAGCCTATTAAAATATTGCTCTCCATATTTTTTTACATTAAAGAATAGTGTACCAAAGATTTGGAAGAATTGCACAATAGTATCTGCATCTCCAACTTGGATGAATTCTGAGTCAAGATTTCCTAGTTTTAAAACTCACAGATTTGATTAGTTAGCAAAATGAATAGCTAAAGTCCATATTTTTATTCAGATACCCACACATAACTGTAAACATAAATTAGCCAAACCAAAGGAAAAATTTAGATTCCTCCACTGAGAATAGTTGGGCAATTTGGAAAAACATGACTGGAAAAATACTTGATTCCTTTTGCTAAATGCACGACGATTATATTGATATGTAATTAATGATTGCACCCCTTTTTCATAGTGGTGTTTGCTTATTAAGTTTTACAACCCCCGACTTTCAATTCCTCAAGTTCCTGTGGTTCCTCTTGCTTTCTAATTTTCCACATCCCATTTATTTTCCTTAGCTGCATTTCCAGTATCTTCTGCTGGTCGCCATTCATCTAAATTCTCTAGTTTGTGCCCATTCCGTATTTTCCCGCTTGCCCTTCATCAAGTCCTCTTCATCATACCGCCCCTTTCAATCCACATATGCCCTTCCACCCCTCTTCTCCCGCCTGTCTTTTGCCTGACCCCCTCCGCTTCTGCTTCATACCTCAGCGTATCATTCTATTGTATACCATTCTTCCTCAACCCCGTTCCCCCACCCCCTCACCTCCATCCCTTTCCCTACACAGCTTTAAGAACGCCTCTCACTCCCTTCCTTCAAGGAAACCTGGGGACAAAGAGAGACGTCGTGGAACCCCCGCCATGCCCAAGGAAGCTGAGAGCGTCTCTCACAGCAGCCGGGGGAAGGAGAACAACCGTTATCACACCTGACAGACTGGGGGAAGGGAGGGGGCGGGGTAGAGAAGGAAGCGACTTCCCAAGGGATCATCCCCTCCCCCCTCCACACAAACACCCACCCCCCGCTCAGGCCTCCCCACAATTGGATGCCGCAGATAAAAAGACGACCAATAAAAAGCGGCATTCCGCCCCCTCCCTCCGCCCCCCATATCCTTCCTTCCCCCGCATCTTCCTCGGCGGATAGCTACAGGGATAGGAAACTCGGGAATGCCATTGTAGGGCAACTCTTAAGTGTTTTTTATCCTTTCTTCTGCTGAGCTCATGCCTGTAAGTGGAGGCTGTTATCGTCAGTGCTCCTCCAGAGAACCAATCAGATAGGTGAACACCGCACCGCCTTTGTCCAAATTTGGCCCCCAAATTAACTGCGTTGTTCTTATACTCGGTAGAGGTATTCCCGTTCTTTCTCCCCGCCCACTAATCTTAGTGGGCGGGAACTTATGGCACGCAGTTGGAGGAACTTCCTCCTACCCAATGAGAAGCCGGTAAGTGATATTAATTACCCGGAGATAAGCTAAGGCAGTTGGAATAAGTTGTAACTTTTTTCCTGTCACACAAACACCAAAACAAAACGCAAAGGCTAGAAAGGAATAGAAATCATATATTAAGATGTTGCATTTAAAACGGGGGGGGGGGGGGGGGTTCCTCTCACCCCAGGAAATTTTAATTTCTCTATTTCCTTGAGGGGGGGGGGGAATTTTGGAAAGGGGAAGGATCAAGAGGAAGAGAGAATAAACCAAAATTTATAGTGGGAGGTATTGTAGTTTCCTGGTCTCAGCTGATCTAATTATGAACCATGGAAAGCAAATCATAATTAAGAGTTTAGTGGGGTCTCAGTGAGTCTAAAAATGACACAACCTAAGTACAAAGATTGGGTTCAAACGTCTGTGAAGTCATCCAGGTCATGTATGGAGAACAAACCCATCAGGACTAGATTCAGCAGTCCACCTGCACTTAAAAGACACAGGCCATTCTTTTTGAAAACAGCAAAGTCCACTGTTAAGTTTGGGTAATGAGAGGCTGGACCAGAGCATTAGTTCAACAAATACTTTATTATAACAATAAAGGACTGACCGTGCTTGCCAAGCCTGGAACTGGCTCGCAGGGATCAGCAACTGGTTGGACCCCGCAGCCTGCTTTTATAGCTGGCTGCTGGGGAGAACCAACCAATGAGCGAGGGGGAAAACCGCCCCCGCAATGTGAACGGACCTGAGTGGGAACTCCTAGAGTTCCAGGGACATAACACCCCTTCCCCCCAGATGCGAACACGCATAGTCTTTGAGGTAGGCAGGAGGTTTATGCTGATGCCCAGAACGGCGCAGCTCTGGTGGGTTGTCTGTCAGTTCAGAGTCTGTAGGGGAAGGCAGAATCGGTAGGGAGTCACTAACGTGCCCCTCGGTTCGGGTTGGCTCGGGACTCGTAGGGCTGGTCACTGGGGACGTGCTCCCGTTGACTGGTTCGGACTGGTCAGCCATCTGGACGTCGCTGTCTGTGTTCGGATTCCCTGGAACGGCTGCTGGTGTAAACAGGTCACTGGGATTGGTGCTGATGTGGGGTTGATGCTGAGGTCTCGCCCCGGTTTGTAATTCTGAGTCACTGCTGACGAGGGTGCTGTGACGCCTTCGCAGCTGGTCCAGGTGCCTTCTCCATATTCGGCCGTCCTCCAATCTGACTCGATATGACCTGGGTCCGGTGATGGCCACGATCTCGCCCGGGATCCACAGAGGGTCTCCAGCGAAGTTCCTCGCGAATACGGGTTCCTGTAAGATAAAATGTCTAACCCCCGATGTGGAAGCGAGGGGAGAGTCAGGGCAGTAATGTGGGTGAAGTCTGTCCAATACAGTCCTCAGGCGCATGCCCATCAGGAGCTCAGCTGGGGACTTATTGGTGACTGAGCACGGAGTTGAGTGCTGGCTCATCAGGAAACGCGAGAGTTTGTGGTGCCAGTCATCCTTGCTGAACCTAGCTAGGGCTTCTTTAGTGGTCCTAACGGCTCTTTCAGCCAATCCGTTACTGGCAGGATGAAATGGGGCCGTAAAGATGTGGCGGATACCCAGGTTGGCAGCGAAACGGCTGAACTTGGCTGATGCGAACTGTGGGCCATTGTCGGAAACAATGGAGTCAGGCAGCCCGTGTGTTACAAACAGGCGAGTTAATACCTTGGTAATTGCTAGTGTGGTGGTCGTGGATAGTTGTGCCACGTCAATCCATTTAGAGTAGGAGTCCACGACCACTAGGAACATTTTCCCGTGCAATGGGCCGGCTAGGTCGATGTGAATTCTGGACCACGGAGCGCTGGCGCTTTCCCACTTAGTAGGGGTGGCAATAGGAGGAACTGGACGGGATTCCTGGCAGGGATTGCAGGAGCTTACCCATCTGATGATGTCCTCGTCGAGGCCCGGCCACCATACGTAGCTGCGTGCTAATGCCTTCATTCTGACGATGCCAGGGTGCCCCTCGTGCAACGCCTCCAGAACTCGGGTACGCAGTAAGGTCGGGATGACCACTCGAGTGCCCCACAGCAGACAGCCCTGCAAACTGGATAATTCCTGCAGGCGGGTCTTGAAAGGTGTAAATTTGTTTTCAACATCACCGCCCGGCCACCCCCTCCTCACCCAGTCCAGTACCTGGGCGATCGTTGTGTCAGTCTTGGATTTGGCCGCAATGTCAAGGGCAGTGATGGGGAGGTCCAATTGGGTGACCTCAAAGATAGCGTGGACCGGAGCAGGGTCTTCAGCTGGAGCCGGCAAGGGGCACCGGCTGAGAGCGTCTGCGTGGGACAATGTTTTACCTGGGCGGTGTATGAGTCTATACGAGTATGCCACTAGGAAAAGGGTCCATCTCGTCATTCTAGGAGAGAGGACTTGAGGGGTCTGTTTGTCCCCAGCTAGTAGACCCAGGAGAGGCTTATGATCCGTGACCAGCTCGAAAAAGTGGCCAAAGAGAAATTCGTGAAATTTCTTCACTGCTGCAACAGCTGCTAGAGCTTCCTTATCGATCTGGCTATAATTGCGCTCTGTTGCAGAGAGCGTCCTGGAGAAAAAAGCGATGGGAGCCTCGGAGCCATTGGGGAGCCTGTGGCTTAATACTGCCCCAATTCCAAAAGGGGATGCGTCTGCTGCTAGCACTAATGGAAGGTTGGGGTCGAACTGAATAAGGACCGCCTCTGACGTGAGTAGTGATTTGACGGCGCGAAAAGCGGAGTCTTCTTTGTGACCCCAGTGCCAAGGCGATTTTTTATCCAACAGTCTGTGCAGGGGTTCTGCCACTGATGCTTTATGGGGCAGGAAGGATGCGTAAAAGTTCAATAGCCCCAAGAAGGCCTGCAGTTCAGTTTTGGAGGTTGGAGTGGGTGCCTCGTGAATTGCCTTAACCTTGGACTCCAGGGGGTGAATGCCTGAGGCATCAATTTTATAACCCAGAAAGTCCACCTGTCTAGTGGCAATGGCACATTTTTCTTTTTTTAATTTGAGGCCATGCTGTCTGAACCTCTCTAACACTGCTCGAACTCTCTGGAAGAGTTGGGGTCTGTCCCTGGCCGAGACTAAGATGTCATCGAAGTAGGGTACTACGCCAGGGAGGCCCTGCAAAATCCGCTCCATGAGGGATTGAAAAATGCCTGGGGCAACACTTACGCCAAATTGGAGACGCTTGCACCGAAAAGCACCCCTGTGGGTGACAATGGTCTGGAGTTCCGCTGTTTGGCTGTCAACAGGGAACTGTTGATACGCTTGAGACATGTCCAATTTGGCAAAAATGCTGCCAGGTTCAAAAGTGTGTAATAAATGCTGAATGACGGGCACTGGGTAAGCGCTAACTTGTAAAAACTTATTAATTGTGGTCTTGTAGTCCGAGCAAATTCTCAGGCTACCGTCTTTTTTGAGGGGTGTGACAATGGGCGTCTCCCATTTGGCGAAATCTGTTGGCTCAATGACCCCTTGTTTTAATAATTTATCCAATTCTGCATCTAGTTT